TGTTCTCATTGGGAATACCACCATCTGTTCTCATTGGGAATACCACCTTTTCTCATTGGGAATACCACCTGTTCTCATAGGGAATACCACCTTTTCTCATAATTTCTAACCAGGATTACCATCAATTTCAATTGGAAATAGCTCCTGCTCAGATTTGAAGTACCAACTCTTGTAATATGGAAACGCTGTGCCCACTATCTTTGCAACATGAAAGTGAATCGTCCAGTGATGCGTAACATTTGTTCCTTTCCTGCAGGTACTTCACCCTCTTCATGAAGCTCTTGAATGATCTGACAGAAGGGGAGGAAGAGAAGGCGACAGAAGGGAGACAACAAGGAGACACACAGACCCACGCACACCTCAGGAAATGTACCATACAAGCAATGTCCAATCTACTCAGTGCTAACATAGATAGCGGACTCACACATTCCATCGGTAAGCACTTTTCATTTAGGACATGGGAGTTTTTCTTCCTAAATCCCCTTCTCTGCTGGAAACAATGGCACATTCTTTAGGTGTTTCTAAGGGGCATCATGACCCATGTTGAACAACACTGACCTCACTCTCTCGTTGATCAGTTTAAATCTTCTTAATGTGATGGGTTTGCAAGATTTGAAGGAGGCAAGTTGAATATGCTAACAATTCTAACTTGAATTTGTTTATCGACTATTATTGTGGAGTGAGACTACAGTGTGCACGTCAATCACTCTTTTATTTGCAGAACTAGTTTTCATAATGACTACTCCCGGACTGTATAAGTGTTTCAGTTTATCAATTTTCATTTTTTAAAGATTCACTGTGGGTTTAGTGTGATCCACGGCTTATCCTTGTTTGTTGGGCATCTTTTTTCCATTTCTTTTCAGGGTTAGGCTACCACAACGACGTTCAGACTAGACGTGCTTTCATTGAGGTTTTGACTAAGATCCTACAACAGGGAACAGAGTTTGACACCTTGGCTGAGACGGTACTAGCCGACAGGTTTGAGCGACTGGTTGGCCTGGTAACGATGCTTGGAGACAAAGGCGAATTACCCATCGCCATGGCATTGGCCAGTGTAGTTGCTTCTTCACAAATGGTCAGTCTTGATTCATTGCTGTGATTTTAAAATCAATTACATTAATGATTAACAAATAAAAAGCACTCACAAGGGGTCATCTTCACTTTGGTATTTGAAATAATCAGCAGTGATACAAACTTAAATTAGTTACTGACAAAGCTTAGAACTTGATTGATTGATTTATTTTTTTCTTTCTTCATTCAACCTTTGTTTGATAGGATGAACTTGCCAGAGTCTTTGTCACATTATTTGATGCCAAACACCTACTCTACCAATTACTCTGGAACATGTTCTCAAAAGAGGTAAGCATTGCCGCAAATGGTTTGTTCTGACACTTTAAAGTGTCTTGTGATCAGCATTTCCAGCCTATAAAGCAACTGAAGTAGGTGAGTGCCAGAAGGTTTACCATGCCATGCATTGACAGTGCAATATATAGAGATCTTAGTTTATGTATTTGGAACTTAGGAATCCTTATCTTTCAGGCAGTGGAGTCTTCCTGTGTGTTAGGTTTGCTATCGAAATCAGGCAATTAATTTATAAATTCTGAGGTTTAATGCTGAGAGACTGCTTGGAGAAGTGTCTAAAACATCTAGGGTTTTTTAAAGAAGATCTGTTGTAGACTATGTGAATTTGTGTTTGTTTATTAGATAAGCTGGCTTAAAAGACCAGTGTTTGCCTTTTGGAACATTGCCTCTTACCTTGGATGTGTAAAACCATTCCATTGCTTTACCACCAGTTTTTGGAGCAAGGATTATGGGAGAGAATCCATAGATTCAGGAGTTGGAATGTAACCTAGATCCTGTTCATCAGTCAGCAATCCTATCCACTGTGCCATGTTTTTACTGGAATGCAAATAAAAGTAATGTATCAAGCAGCTTTCGGGTTACAGACTTGACATCTGCCCCTTTGTTGATACCTACAGGTGGAGTTGGCAGACTGTATGCAGACGTTATTCCGGGGGAACAGCCTAGCCAGCAAAATTATGGCTTTCTGCTTCAAGATGTATGGTTCCAACTACCTTCATTCTCAGCTAGAACCGTTGATTTCAGAGCTGATGTCTCCAGAGAACGAGCACATATCATATGAGGTTGACCCAGCAAGGTCAGTTAATTCCAGTTTGAGATTCAGCGTTATTATTAGTGACTGTGACCCAATTTCAGGTTGTGGCCCAAATGATAAATGCAGTCGTTGTAATTTACTGGTGTTCTGGGAAGGGACCTTACTGTCTATTTTGTGAGCCGGAATTGGGATGTTTTTTGTACTGGTTCTTGGAATGTTTTTCTTCAGGATGCGACCAGATGAGAGCTTAGAGGAGAACAGGAAAAATGTGATAGAGGCAGCCAAGAAGTTCTTCTCGGCTATCACACAGTCCACGTCCAAGTGAGTGCAGCTGTGAATGCTTTGATTCCTTCATGCCTAGCATGTACTTCCAGAACATGTTTAACCCCTTGATGACGGGAATTTCTTTCCGAAAGCTGACTCCAAGAATTCCAGCCTCGCTTGGCCATGAAAGCCACCTGCCAAACCACAAATTCTCGGTTTGTGGCCGTGTGCTCTGCACGCTTTGAACTACTCACGCTTCCACATTCCCATTGCCTCTTTTCGAAGTGGGGACTATTGTGAAGCTGGTGATTATGATGCAAATTCGGTCTTTTCATTTCTGGGCTGCACACAAAGGCCAATTACCATATATACAAGAGCCAGGGTCTGCCTTCTTTTGCCGTGTTCGCTCGAGCGTGGGCCGAGAATAATAGCTGAAAAGCGGGCTGAGGATCTCAATTTTTACAGCGGCTCTTGCCGCGTCCCAGCGCGAAGGGGTTACGACTGAAAACAGATGTTGTTGTCATGTGTTCATTCTACTGATCATTAGAGTGGTTCCTTTCCCTCTTTTTATGATCCAGAATACAATGCATGGATTTTCAACTAGTCAATTTTGCTACCTTTTTCTAAACCTCTGTTGTCCCTCGTAGACACTGAATCTGACATGCAAAAAGATGAGTGTCTTATTTGGACAAATAGATAAAGCTTTGTCACCTCTCACCTGATGACGATCGGTCACATGGCACCGTCTGTAACACCTGACCCACAGGCTGTCTTAGGCTTGACCGATAGTTGGTCATGTGATACTCGCTATTTTGTTGTACTTTGTGCAAAGCCAGTAGTTTGTGCAATTCATTTGGCTATTCTTATCTATGTTTGGTACATCTCTTTTTTCTTCTTTGTGAATTTTCCAGGTTTCCAGCTCAGCTTCGTAGTGTATGTCATTGCCTCTATCAAGTCGTCATGCAACGCTTTCCTCAGAATGCCATTGGGGCTGTGGGTAGCGCCATCTTTCTACGATTCATTAACCCGGCCATAGGTATGCCGCAAATTGTCCCAGCATCTCGACCCGATTATTCTATTTGGAATCGGACATGCAGCAAGATCATCTAAAGCCATGCCTACCCACGCAGAGTAGCATCAGGACCTTTAGGACTGGAAGTTGTACAAAGCTTGTGTATTTAGCCAATGGGCGTCGATACTCAATGGGAACACATTCATAAACTAGGATTGGGACTTGACTTACATTTCATTGGTGCACATTCCGTCCTTCGCACAAGTACTTTGATCAGTTCTATCAGCAGAGAGCTAGGGGTTTACAGAGCTAACGCAGACAGACTTGGCTTGATTATTTTTTACAGTGTCTCCCTTTGAGCAAGGTATCATTGATAAGAAGCCTGCTGGAAACTCCTTGAGAGGACTCAAGCTGGTCTCCAAGATCATGCAGAACATTGCCAACACCGTCAATTTCAAGGAACAGCATATGCTTAGCTTCAATGATTTCCTCTCGGCCAACTTCAAGGATGGGAGAAGGTACCGGAAGACAGATGATTCTGAGTCTAAACACATTTAAACAAAATAATTAAAAATTAAATTGAGCTTTGCTTCGGAAACAAAAAGAAGAAAGAAATGTCTTGCTGTAAATTTATTTGGTGTTAAAATCTGTCACAGGTTCTTTGAGGAGATTGCGTCAGAGGCTCACATGAATGACGTTGTCAGTCAGAGCAGTCCTTCGTTCACCTCCGACAGCAATGTGGTGGCACTACACCGGTTGCTATGGAACCATCAGGAGAAGATGGGTGATTTCCTTGCCAGCAGCAGGTAAAAGGCCTCAAGAGGCCACAACTTTTCATACCATTGCTTCGGTAATCTTGGAAATTTGAGCGTTTAAGATTTCAAAGCACGAGCCTCTCAAGCACCCATCTCTTTCAATAGTTGTGTTGAATGTTTCTTGTCACAGAGGTTCTGACGTTACTTGATACTATCCAATGAAGACTATGTTCAAAGGAAAGTGTCACTTCTAGTGGACAAACGCAACAAAATTAAGTCACTCAATGTTACGATGTGCATAGAAGCTTTGTTTCATTGCTGTTGAAAACCTGAACATTTTCTTTTCTGTTCTGTTGCCAATAAATTGAATGCTGGTTCTCTGAAAGGTTCTCGCTTCAAGAAATCACCATGTGTTATTGTTAGTTTTGCAATATACACGACATCTTATAGTGCATCCGAGTTCTTCGTTCCTGGTCAAATCAGATCTTCTTTGATATTAATTATTTGTTGTAAGTCACATAATGTTTGATTTGTGAGTAATTTATTATCGCTTTCCTTTCCAGAGATCACCGGGCTGTAGGTAGAAGACCATTTGACAAAATGATCACTCTCCTGGCATACATCGGACCCCCAGAACACCCAAGACTTCTGCTAGAATCACAGTAAGTTTTCCCATTACTCATCATCGGATTAATCCTGGTTCAAAACCAGCAAAAACTGGATGCATGTAAAGCTTTAATAGATTCAAGGACAGCACATCAAATATATTTAATTGGCAGTATTTATATTTCCGTCAATTCTCGCTGGAATTAGAATGAAGTTTATGATCTTAAGAAATCGCTGGATGCTGTTATACTTTGAAAATGGGACTTTGTGAATAAGGGAATGAATATGTGCATGTCCGGTCTTAAATGTGCGTTGAAGACCTGCTCAGGAGAATGGACGGGACATCAGCATGCAGTCTCCTGAGCTGGTCTTGTGACTTGTGAAGGGACTTGTGATGGGACTTGTGATGGGACTTGTGATGGGACTTGTGATGGGACTTGTGAT